ATGAACAAAACACACAAGTAAATAAGGCATATAGTCTGTTAGAAGGTGATAAGGGCAACCTAGAGAAAAAAAAAAAAAAAAAAAAACAGGGATGGGGTGAGGGTGAAGGGCAGAAGCAGGAGAGTGAGTGAGAGGAGTTACTTTCTTAAGAAAGATGGTCATAGATCATAGTGAGTTTGTCATTTGAAAAACTGAATGACCACTATGAAAAAGAAAGAAAACTTGCTTCCATGTCTCATTACTAGGAAAAAAAAAAAAAGATGGTCAGAAAGTCTCTTTTTAAGAAGGTGACATTTGAGCAGGGACCTGAAAAAGGTTTGGACTTGATTGCACTGATATCTGGGAAGCTATATTCCAGGCAGCAGGCCACGCAAAGGCCCTGGAACAGACGGAGTTTGAGGGGTCAGAACAGCGGCAGGAAGGCCAGGGTGCCTGGAGCAGAGCCAGGGCCACAGTTGGCAGAAGAGTGATGCTTGCTGATCAGTAGCATCAGTATCCTGGGAACTGATCAGAAATCATAACTCAAACTTATGATTGCCGGGGGGAAGGAAGGGGGGAAGGGATAGTTAAGGAGTTTGGTATGGACATGTACACATTGCTATACTTGAAATGGAGAACCAACAAGGACCTACCGTATAGCACCTGGAACTCTGCTCAATGTTGTATGGCAGCCTGGATACGAGGGGAGTTTGGGAGAGAAAGGATCCATGTATATGTGAAGGCTGAGTCCCTTCACTGTTCACCTCAAACTATCACAACATTGTTAACAGGCTATACCCCAATACAAAATAAAAAGTTAAAAGAAATGCAGATTCTTGCACCCCCAACCCAGATCTATAAAGTAGAAACTCTGTTGTGAAGTGGCGGGGGGGGGGGGGGGGGGCGGTTTGCTGGAGAAGGTGGAGACCCAGGGGATCGGTTTTGACAAGTCTTCCAGGTGATCCCAATGCTGGCTTAAGTCTGAGAACCACTACCTGAGAGCTAGATCCTGAGCCCTCTTTCCCCTATGGTATCTTCTCTGGACAGTCTCATCAAGTGCCATAGCTTTAAATGCCCTCTGTGTGTAGTTCAGTCACTCAGTCGTGTCTGACTCTTTGCAGCCCCCGTTGAACAGAGTTCCAAGTGCTCTGCAGCAGGCCAGGCTTCCCTGTCCATCATCAACTCCCGGAGCTTGCTCAAACTCATGTCCATCGAGTCGGTGATGCCATCCAACCATCTCATCCTCTGTCGTCCCCTTCTCCTCCTGCCTTCAATCTTTCCCAGCATCAGGGTCTTTACCAATGAGTCAGTTCTTTGCATCAGGTGGCCAAAGTATTGGAGCTTCAGCTTCAGCGTCAGTCCTTCCAATGAATATTCAGGATTGATTTCCTTTAGGATTTCCTTCCTCTGTGTACAGGCATTGCCAAACTTTTTCCTTTTCCACTCATATATCTTTTTTAGTTCTAATCTTGCATATCCAATTCCCATCTCAGCAAACAGCCTAACCAACTTTCTGTTTGAATCAGAACCCTAGAAATCTGCTGCACTGAGCCCACTTTATTTATGATGTGAATTATAGTGAATTCTTGCCATTATAACTTAGGGTAGGTCTGATCTATACTTGATGGCAGAAGAAAAGTCATCACATCACAAGTCATCACTTAATCACAGTTTTCAGCCCCATCTCAACTCCAGGAAACAGAATTGCTTTCTCCCCTGGGCCTCTGTTCTCTTAAATCCTGGGCCTCTTCCCCCAACAATGGCTCATGGTTCCAATACAATCTTCTTGCTTGCTTGAGAGATTGATGATTGATGTCACCTGCACAAAAGCCTTCTCTATTAGAAGTTTCAACTGAGAGAGAAATACTTGCTGAGAATTTTTTCCATTCAATTTCACAAATATTTCTCTTAATGCCCTTTCATAATGCGGTGATGGGCCCACAAATAAGTAACAAATACTAAGTTCCCGCTGATAGACACTGTATTAGGAATAAGGGAAGTAACGCCTCCTCATTTAATACTTGACCATTGGACGGTGAGTTGAGTGAGGGTCAATAATCTCAACTCTGAACTCAGACCGCTTAAGTTTGATATTTGGTTGTTGCTTACATGTCCTCTGTTAGGATCTGAGGTGGGTTATAAACCATCTCTCTGCCTTATTCCCTTCCCTCCAAGTGGGGTTCATAATAGCACTGGCCCCCCCTAGGGTTGTTGAAAAGATTAAATGAATTATTGTATGTAAAGTGCATAAGCAATATCTGGCATTAAGTGCCAAGATTAACTATTGTTAATACATATTTCAGAGCAAATAAACAGAAAGGGTTTGGTGAGAGAGTTAACCTATGTCCTTGAGTGTACTTCTGATATACACCAATTTTATAATATGGTACTCACTGTGATACAGCTGCTCCCAGGGCTCCAAATGACATTAATTAGCTTGTGATGTTTTGATTGATTCTTGTCTGTTTCACGAAGACTTGCCCTGGGTTTTCACTGCCCTGAGTTGAGGCAATCTAAATCAGGATTCCCAACCAGGAAAAAATAATAAGCAACAATTTCATGTAATGAGAACATAACAAGATTATAAAACATAGCTATTTTTAAATAGCATTGTTATTAAAAAAAAAAAGACATAAAACACAGCTATTAGATGATTTCTTCATATACCCCAGGGACTGTGGACTTAAGTGCTTGCTATCAGTCCAGGAGAGAGGAGATATAATTCTTTTTGATTGAAGTGGCTCAGAATTGGCCTTTAATTGACCAGGGAGTAAGAAGAAAAAAGGATTGGGTATAAAAATGTAATCAAGTTTACTTAAAGCCAGTCAAGGACTTTAACCTGCCCCCATAGGGGTCTTGCTTCATCTTCAAAATCTGGTGAAAGTGTAGAAAGAAAGCATGCCACTTTTGTTCTCCAGAAACCTAGAAATGGAATGTAAAACAGTGTCTATTTGGTACAGGTTAGGAACTAATATAACAATACAACATACTACCCTCTTCCTAGATGCCTTCCAAGTGTGACTCAATGAATACCTTTTAAAAATTAAATTTATTAATTTTTTTCTGTGCTGGGTCTTCATTGTGGTGAATGGGGCCTTTCGTTGCCACATGTTGCCTTTTTCTAGTTTTGATGAGTGGGAGCTACTCTCTGGTTGCCGTGTACAGGCTTCTCATTTCAGTGGCTTCTCTTGTTGCAGGACACGGCCTCTAGAGGGTGTGGGCTTGAGTAGTTGTGGTGCACATGCTGAGTTGCTCTACGGCAACCAATGATCAAATCCATGTCCCCTACGTTGGCAGGCAGATTCTTAACCAATGAACCACTAGGGAAGTCCCTCAATCCACAATTAAAAGTGTATATCAAAGTAAGTGCATGGCCCTGCTCACTGAGATTGCCCGTATATGTCATGTGTATTAGTATGTAATGGTCAAGCTTGGAAGAAAAAGAGCTCAGAGTCACAAAAGGATGACTCTGGGTTCAACTGTGAGGAACACAGTTCCTTCGGCTTGTTATTTCACCTTTTAAAACCCCAGGTTCTTCATCTGTAGAAGAGAGAGAAAAATAATTTCCACCTCATAGGACTCTTGTGATGGTCAAATTCACGAATGTTTTGGAAAGTTCTTTGCATGGTGCCTGGCACAGAATGTATATGCTCAAAATAATGTTAGCTATCAATTGTGGTCAGTTATATGGTTTTGAAAATATTTAATGTGTATTGAATCCATGGTCTTAATAAGGCTAGAGAGAGAAATGGTTTTTCAAAAATATTTATTTGGCTGTGCTGGGTCTTAGTTGTGGCACACAGGATCTTCGATGTTTGTTGTGGCATGTGGAGTCTAGTTCCCTGACCAGTGATGGAAACCAGGCTTCCTGCACTGTGAGTGAGGAGTCTTAGCCACTGGACCACCAGGGAAGTCCCTATCAGGCCAGTTTTAAAGGTGAAGAAATGGATACCAAAAAATTAAGAGACTTGTTCAAGGTCACACTGCACCTTCAGAGCAGGAATCTCGGGCTCCTCCATGTTACAGGTTCCTACAGAAGGATTATGCAGCCTTGACTCAGATCCACCCCATGCTGGTGTCTGTCCTCAGCTGGGCAGATACACAAAAGAAAGAGTGCAGACCATCTTTCTCCACCATCTGTGCTACTCTGGCTAAGATCCAAGCTGAGGCATCTTCTCCTAACTGTTCCATGTATTGCCCCGAGCTTGTTAGGAAAGCTATGACTTCAGATTCCAGAGTTAAGAACCATGTACTTTCTATTAGTGAAGAGTGTATAATTTTTGTTCTGCAACTTTGGGCATTTAAAAAAAAAAGTCATATTAGTTTACTCCTCTAAAGCCCAATTAAATCTATGTCCTTCCTCACCAAGGTGGCAGGAATTTACTCATTTTCTCCTCTCCCCCACCTCACATTCGACCTCATGACATAAAAAGGGTCTCTTGTCATTGGTCCAGCACGGATGCCACTGAAATGCTCAAGGACCTGAGAACGTGAGGTCCATTTTATATTGCTGTTGTTCAGTCGCTCAGTTGTTTCCAAATCCCTGCAACCCCATGGACTGTAGCCCACGAGGCTCCTCTGTCCATGGGATTCTTCAGGCAAGAATACTGGAGTGGGTTGCCATGACCTCCTCCAGGGGATCTTCCCAACCCAGGGATCGAACCCAGGTCTCTCGCATTGTAGGCGGATTCTTTACCATCTGAGCCACCAGGAAGTCCAAGAATACTGGAGTGGGTAACCTATCCCTTCTCCAGTGGATCTTCCCAACCCAGGAATTGAACCGGGGTCTCCTGCAATGCAGGCGGATTCTTTACCAGCTGAGCTACCAGCGAAGCCTCCATTTTATATTACTTTTATTTATTTGGTTGCGTCGGGTCTTAGTTGTGGCATGTGTGATCTTCCTTGTGGTGTGTGGGCTCTCTCGTTGTGGCACATGGGCTCCAGTAGTTGCAGCATGCCAGCTTAGTTTCCCAGTGGTATGTGGAATCTTAGTTCCCCAACCAGGGGTCGAACCTGCGTCCCCTGCACTGGAAGGCAGATTCTTAACCACTTTACCACCAGGGAAGTCCCATTGAGGTCCATTTTTAAAGCCAAAGATTCCATGCCTAAAATCCTTTGCTGTGCCTAAGACACACCTCCTAGAATTTGGTACCTTCACCCAGTGTCCTCATGCTACCCTAGCAGATGAGCAGCGCCCCCTTGAGGCACTCTGTAGACATGCAGTATGGGAATTTCTATTTGCTGGTGGCACCCCTTCCTTCTTCCTGGGGTCCTAGTACCTTTCTCTACCCTTTTCTCCATCCCCCATTTGCAAGCTTCAAAGCACCTCTCCTCTACTGGAGACTTCAACTTCTTTCAACACAAAGCTCCCTAGCTCTGTATGAGAATCCCACGTTATCAGGTGTCAAAATCCTGCTTGCTCTCTGGAAGAACAAAAGGAAAGTATTTCTCCTTCCTTCTGAATCTTCCCCAGTACTGAAAGCAAAACACAAAGGCATATGTCCAGAAACTGGCCTTCCATGTTTCTTTTTTCAGTTTAATGCTTCAAAAAGCATAACATTTGAGCTTAAAATGGAAACATTCTCTATTCTTTCATCACAACCACAAGTTAGGGCTGGCCGATGGACCAGCGCTTCGCCAAGGTCCTTTGATTCTTTATGTCTTTGCAAGAAACTGCCTGAATTGTCAGTGCTGGAATTGGCTTCTCTCCGGAAAACAAACCATTACAGAATTTGGACTGGCAAAGCCTGTCATCCATTAACTCCAGGGATCAATGCTGATGAAAGAGAAGATAGATTCCTTTCATATTTTCATTAACCTCCAGATAATTTAACTTTAAATTTTTATCTCATTAATCTACTTTAACCATGGCCAATTTCTCTCAGTACTTCAAATGTAGTTTTATCTTTTCTAAATTTTTATCCATTCTCAGTTTGGGGTCCAAACACAAAACACTTAGGGGGTAAAGAGAGCCTGCATCAGGTACTAGCCCAGGCCTTGGGGTCAGAGTGACAATAAAACACTAGAGGCCCTCACAGGTACACACTAATATTGCCTGGTCCTGTTCTAAGTTTTTCCACATATACTGATTCATTTAATCCTTACAACAACTCAGTAAAGTTGGTAGTATTATGAGTCCCATTTCATAGTTGAGAAAACTGAGGCACAGAGAGGTTAAGACACTTTCCCAAGGTTGCACAGCTAGCAGGTGGCAAAGGCAAGAGCCAAGTCTGGAAGTCTGACATCAGTCTGTGCCTTTAACATGCAGCTGTGAGTACCAACCATAGTTAAGAAGGAAATAAACAGGCTGATGATACAAAGAGCAGATGGGGAGGTCACTTCCCAAGTGCCGATCAGGGAAGGCTATCTAGGAGGCAGCACTTGAGCTAAAACCTGAAGGATGGCAAAGAGCCAGCAATACAAACAGTGAGGGGGTGGAGGTGAGCATTCTGGGCAGGAGAAACAAGACACGCAAAAGCCAAGAAAAGGGAAGAGACATTCACGGGCAGAAAAGTGGCCTGGGTGGCAAAACATAGCAAGGGACTTGGAGAATAACATGGGATGATGATGGGTGGATGCTTCAGGAGCAGTGAGAAGCCCAGATGGTTGTAAGCAGAGATAGGACATGATCTGAGTTGCTTTTTCAGTCACTGGCTGCTGGGGGAACAACAGGACGAGCAAGAACCAGGAACATAGGGGACCTGGAATAGGGTTATGGAATTCAAGGGGAGAAAGTGATGGTGGAGGTCTGGTGGCAACAGACAAGGATGGATGGATAAGGAAGGCGTGGTGCTCAGGACTTGTCAGGCATCTGAAGTGAAGACTTCATTCCTAAGAGCCAGGGAAACCTGGATGGGTTTAAGCAAAGAAGTCCTGTGATCAGATGTGGGTTTTAGCAGAATGATTCTGGGTGGTGTGGAGAATGTGTTTGAGAGACAAAACTGGGATCCAGTCAGGAGGCTGCTAGAGACACAACGGTGAAAGGTGATACTCACTGACCAAGGGGCATGGGTTACTCGTGCCACAAAGATTAACCACCCAGCACTAGGCACTGGAACAAATCAGACAAGGTGCTGGTCTCAAGGAACTTTCCAGAGCTCTTTATGAGGACAGGCTTGGTGATATCTTGACAGTGAAAAATGAATGAAAGGAAGGAGAGGAAAGGCCCTTCTCTACCTGAGGGGAGAGGAAGGATGCTGTTTTGTAAGATAGGGAACCTGGAAAGAGGCTTTGCCTGTGGGTCAACTTGAGTTCAGGACAAACTTGAGAGTTCGATGGCCACAGTGGAAAGGCAGGAGGTAGATGTAGATGGAACCCCAAGACTCTTCTAAGAATGCAAACTAACAGTTGGAAGAGAAATGTTACTTTTGAACATCTTCTTAATTGCCACCTGCTAGGTGTTGCAGTTTAAACAAATAAGCACCAGAAATAACCTGCTTCTAAAGAATAATATTCCCCCTAAGGGCTTCAGAACGCAAGGAGATGGGTTTCAGTGGCAACATGAAAGAACTGGGCTTTGCTTAAGAACAATTCCCAAGGACTTCAAAAGTACAGAAACATCCCTTTCAGCTTCCCATTACTCAGATTCAGACAATCAAGTCCTCCACCCAAGAGCATGGTGATCACCACAGCTTGAAATAAGATGGGTAGTCCTTATCACAGGTGTTAACCTTTCCCTCCAACATTATCTGTACACAGCAGTATACCTTCTGTTGATTGACAGACCTCAAGCTGTCAAATATCTTTCCCAGAGATCTTAGAGAATACACAAGCTGTGTCTGGTAAGATCAGTTGGAAGACAGGATGTGTGAGATTTCTTTTCATTATAACATAAAGTTTGTAAGTTTTCACTCCTGCCAGTGCCCTGGAAATAATGGTGCCAGTACACTAGAGTCGCCATCAAACCAGGGTGAATGGGGAACCAGCCCTCCCTTGAAGGATGGATAGGTGGATGGATGGATCCTGGGAATTCAATAGAAGAGTGAGTTCTAGAGAAAGAGTTTACCTCTGAGACAAGCTGGCTTTTCCACCGTCACTAAGCGGGTGATCCTGTCTGCTTCTCCCTTTATTTCATCAACCGTGTTTTGACAATTCCTGAAGAAAAAAAGAAAGAAAAGAAAACGTGTCGAAGACAAATTGAGCTCCTGAAGCAATAAACATTTAGACATACAATGTGAATTGAGTTATTGTTCTCGGTCGGGATAGTCTCCCAGTCTGTTTCTCTTTTTTGAAGAGAGACCGTGTCAGGCCGTCTTCCTCCCCCGGGCTCTGAAGGGGAGTCTCCCCTCCGCAGTAATTGTTGCGAATTCTGACAATAGCCCACGACTAGGTTATTTCACAGGAACTTCCATTTCCAAAGAGTTGAGGGGAGATTAATGCAAGAAAACTGGACTAGATCGAGGGTGAAGAGCCGACCCTTCAGCCAAGTTTAACCAAGGTAGCCTTTTCCTGGGTCTCCCAGGTGGGAGGGGGGCCTCTCGCGGTGGGTTTCGGTGGGGTTTGCTGGGGACAGAGTAGGGGTCCTCGGGTCCGGAATCCCCGCTCTCCTCCGCACAGCCTCCGCTGTTCGGCGGCTGATTCAGGACCTAACTTTGTCCAGATCGCTTGCGCAGCAGAGAGGGAACCGGGGGCTCGGCCAGCTCGGGGGTACCGGGGACCTCCCGGCTGGGCTGGGGCCGGGCCCGGCCGGGCGCGTTCATTGTTGTCGCGGTGCGGGCGGCGCTCCGGGGCCCTACGGCGGGCGAGGGAGGCGGCGATTGCGGGCGCCGCACGGCGGAGGCGGAGGCGCCGGGCGCGGATGCCGCCGGGTAGGCCCCGGGCCTGCGCACCCGGGGCGCATGGGACTCCCGTTTCGGTGGATCCGCCGCTGCAAACCTGAACTTCCTCGGCTCCCCGGGAAGCGCCACGAATAAAAGGTAATGTGTCTTTGTTTCCCGTCCGCGATTGCCGGCAGGCGATAGATTCTGCAGCACTTCTGGGTCCTTGTCTGGCCGGTTAGAGGGGCATGACACTTGTGCTTTACTGAGGACACGGAGCACTGAATGCTGAAGGTGTGACATTGTTCCAGTGCACACCCTTCCAGCGCTCACCCCACGTGCGGACAGACTCTGCTCCCTCCCCCCACACCCACTTTCTTGGGCACCTTGACCTCACTCAGGCTGGATTAACCCGGGGAGAAAGGAAAGGACGTTGCTGCGGGCAGACCTGGGCTGGATATTTTTTTTTAAAACTCATTTGTCTGGAAGTGACAGGGTAGTCCTTCTTTGGGGGCAGGCGGCAGGCTGCAGATCGAGTCTGCTAAAATGGACTGCTCGTCACATTCCAAATGGCTGCAGCAAGTTCGATGCAGGGAGACAGCGGGAGGAGGGGAAGAGGGAAGCCCCTTCAGGACGGGGTCATTTAAAAATGACCAAACGCCGTGTTTCTGTATTGTAAGCAGCGGCCCCAACGTGGGTGCATAGTGCATTTAGGAAAGGTGGACCGTCCCTGTACTTTGAAAGCTGTGTGCAAGCTGCCCGTGTGTCATCAGGAACTCGGCGCTAACCTCGTTAGCAGAGTAACTGCTCAGTAGATTCAAGAGAATTTCCAAGGGATGGCTATTCTAATAATAGGTTTGGCGGTGGCTTCCTAATAGACACACTCCTTCTGAATGATGCGGCCATGCCTGTCCCCCGGAAGCTCTGCTTGCTGCGAAAAGGCGATCCAATGCCAGTAAAGGACTCCCTGACCCCACCGTGAAAGGAGGAGGTTCTTTCTCCCCTATGAATGGAACATCCCAATAGAGGTTGCTACCGCTGTTGTGGCTTCTCTCAGTTTGAATCCTCACAGCATCTCATGAAAGGGATTCTCAGAACACCTAAGCCAAGCACCAGTTTCTAAATGTGAGCTGTTCAGGGTGGATGGCTTATATTAGGTGTTGGCATAGACTCCGCTGTATTTAGACCCCTGGTCAGGCTGACTTGATCTGTATTTTACCTGAGTGAGTTTTGAACAGCTATTCACATCCCCCTGACACCTCAGCATCTGCAAGTCTGTGGTTTTTTTCCTGAAAGCATGGCTGTGATGTTCTGGAGAGCATCAGTCCAAGAAAGAGCCAGGGGCAGACTTCTGACTTCATTCAGGGAAGCCATTGCTGACCCTGGGGCACTGTCTCAGGAGTTGGATGCAGAAATCTGTTCCTTATGCTAGTTAGAACTTAGCTCCACGTGTCATCTTTTGAATGTGCCACAAAGTGGGGAGTTGGGGAAGACAAACATTTCATTGTTTCTGGTTTTTAAATTGCTTCAAGTTCATTCATAGCATTTGGCCCCTTTTGGAGTCTGGCTTGGACAAGGTGGGAAGACCAAAAACAAACAGTTCCAATCAGTAGACTTCTGATTTTGGTTCTTCAAGTGTTCATCTCTTGCAACCAGAGGGCCGGAGGATGAGCCTCTTCTGTTGGCCAAGGGATCCTTTCTGCTGTGAATGAAATCTGGGTTTACTTAAGGCACACCAGGGGGGGGTCTTGCTTCAAATAGGTTTGAATCTCTTCTGTCCGGAAAGGTTGTATGTGTGTGTGTTAACCGCCCAATTGTGTCTGACTCTGCGACCAAATGGACTATAGCCCACCAGGCTCCTCTGTCCATGGAGTTAAATACCTGCAATTACTATATGGGAAGCAATATTTGGACTTGCTTTGAAATCAACACTGTTGTCCTGTTAGTACAATGTTGCCTCCAAATAACTTGGAAAAAAAGTGATGCTGGATGTGTTGTAGAAGTAACCTTTTAGAACAACAGCATTAAACTCTTGTGTTAAAAAGGGAACAATGTTGGTTGAAATGAGGATTGGAAAATCCCTCCACCCACTTAAAATTTTTTTATTGAAACACAGGTGATTTGCAATCTTATTAGTTTCAGGTATACAGAAAAGTAATTCAAATGTGTGTATACATGTATATATATATTCTTTTTTAGGTTCTTTTCTGTAATATGTTATTACAAGATATTGAATATAGTTCCCAGTGCTGTACATTAGATAACCTAATAGGTTATCAATTTTAAATGTAGTAGTATGTATATGTTAACCCCAAACTCCTAATTTATTCCTTCCCTGCCTTTCCCCTTTGGTAACCATGTTTGTCTTCTGTTTGTGAGTCTGTTTCTCTTTTGTAAATGAGTTCATTTATACCATTTTCTTTTTTTAGGTTCTGCATATAAGTGATATCATATATTGTGTTTATCTTATTTCACTTAGTTTGATAATCTCTGGGTCCATCCATGTTGCTACAAATAGCATTATTTCATTCTTTTTAGTAGCTGAGTAATATTCCACTGTGTATATATATATATATATATATATATATATACCACATCTTCTTTGTCTGGTCATCTGTCAGTGGACATTTAGGTTGCTCCCATGTCTAGGCTATTGTAAACAGTGCTGCTATGAACATTGGGGTGCATGTATCCTTTTGAACCGCATTTTTCTCCAGATACCTACCCAGGAGTAGGATTGCCGGATCATATGGTAGCTCTGTTTTTAGTTTTTTAAGGAACCTCTATACTGTTTTCTGTAGTGGCTGTACCAATTTACATTCATGTAAATACATTACATTTACATTGTACAACAGTGTAGGAAGAGGGTTCCCTTTTCTCCACACCCTCTCCGGCATTTGTTGTCTGTAGACTCTTTAACAATGGCAATTCTGACCAGTATGATGTAATGCCTCATTGTAGTTTTGATCTGCATTTCTGTAATAATTGGCAGTGTTGAACATCTTTTCATCTGCCTGTTGGCCATCTGTGTGTCTTCTTTGGAGAAACGTCTGTTTAGATCTTCTGCACATTTTTTTTATTTTTCCACCTACTTTTATTCTGACCAAGTGTGATCTGCCACTGCTGTTGCTAGTATTCTTTCTGGCACTTGAGCTAATTTTATTAATAAGACTTGTTATTTATGGCATAGGGCCGCTTTGTTATTTGTAGACATCGTTGCCAAGTCCCCTGACAGCCTGGCAGGTGGCAAGTGCCATTAGCATTATCTTCTTGTGGGGGGAACCGAAACCTCTTGAGGTTCAGTGAGTTGCTGATTTCATAATCCATGAGAAGTGCCTCCCAGATGTGGATGTGCTCAGTTTTATTGTAATGTCCAGGTTATAGTCTGAGATCAAAAGATAAACCAAGAATGAGTCTGAGGGACTTCCCTGGCAGTCCAGTGGTTAAGACTTCAAGCTTCCACTGCAGGGAACATGGGTTCAACCCCTGGTTGGGGAACTAAGATCCCACATGTCACACAGTATGGCAAAAAACAAACAAACAGACAAAGGAATACATGCTAGTATGGGCCCTGGAACTTGGGGAAAGGCTCTGTGGACCATTGGGGATGCCAGAGTTTAAAGGAAAGGGCTCCTGAGTCAGGCTCGATGGGCTGATGCGTGAGTGTGATCCATCTGTAATGGGGGAGGCAGTGATGAGATGAAAGGTCCAAGAAATAGTGTATTGAGGGGGACCTGTCAGGGTACCTTGGTCATTTAGTAAATATGGGGTTGGACATGACTGCCTCCAGAGGAGATCATTACCAACTTTACTGCGTAAATACACCATTTGTGCTCGTGTTATTAATGCTAGCATGTGTGTCTTAAGTAAAAAACTTCCAGTTCTGTTCATATGTCATATATTCACCAGTTACAAGAGTTGCGTGTAGCCTGACACACCAAATGACTGAAAATATGATCAGGCAATTCAAAGCTCAAGTTTTGTTCTAAGAAATTTTTGCATGTGTCAATACTTCTTTAAAAAGAAAAAAAAAAGAAACTGTAACTTCGGGAGAATTTCCATTTAAACTAGGGGAAATGAGAAAGACATGCTAACAGTTAAATAGGTTACGAAGTTAGTTTAAACCACATTCTACACAGTATCAGAATATGTAAGTCTAGATTCACCAGTGGCATTCATTCATGTTTTTTGTTTATTTCTTAAGACTGTCTCATATCTTTAAAAAATATTTTTGATTTATTTTTAAGATTATTATTATTTTTAAAATAATGTTATTTATTTATATATTTTTGACTGCGCTGTGTCTTCGTTCTCTGTGCAGGCTAAGCAGGGGCTCTTCACGCAGTGGCTTCTCTTGTTTCGAGCACAGGCTCTAGAGCACAGGCTTAATAGTTGTGGCACATGGGTTTAGTCACCCCGCGGCATGTGGAATCGTCCCACACCAGGAAGTCAATCTATGTCGTATGCATCCGCAGGTGGATTCTTAACCACTGGACCACCAGGTTGTATTTTTGAGTCTCAGCTGATATATCAGTAAGCTTTGTGGCAGGAACTCTCTATTTGGATGTATTCATTGTAAAAAATTCCAGCATCTCTATTAGAAAAGATCTCTGAGACCTCACAGGGAGAGAAACCATGGGCAAAGATCTTTTATCTAAATTTTAAAAACAGCATTTTTCTT